TAAATTACAAATTAATGTAGTTTTTTTTTTATATCTAAATGTTTAAACATTTACAATGTGTATTTATATAAATGATACAAAAATCTAATTTAAAAACTTAAAATAGGATTTATTAGTGCTAAATTACACATTGCATCTATATAAAAGATTAACATTTCTTTCATGAATATATTTTAAAATAAATGAATAAAATATATATTGCATTATTTAAATATGAACGATTACTATTTAGGGGATTATTTTATAATTTATTTATTTAAATGAAATATAAAGATCTAAAAAAATTATAAAACAAAACATTATTTGCATTTCAAAATATTATTTGAACAATATAATTTTAATTACTAATTATATGTGTACACACACACACACACACACACACACACAAGGAAGCCTGCCTTTGGTTCATGCCTACCAATCTCACATATTTTTTTAAATGACATTCTGGTGTTCAATACCAGTTTAACAAAAATGCAATACTCATTGCGCAAGATGCTGAAAAAAACAGCAAAATGTAGTCCTCAAAATTCATTGCCAGCATCGCCACTGTCATTAGCTGACCTCACTAATCAACTTGTTGAAAGACTAGTTGACCATCGCATTGCATTCCTAATAGCAGTTAGCATGGCATCTCTATTCCAGTTCCATTTAATCTTGTCATTCATTTCAGTGCTACACTTCCAGATAATAGCTAGAAATAGAAGTTAATAACCGACTGGAGAATTCTTGATGCACAGAGAAAAGTTTGAGACTCTGCCAAGATGCTCAGCGTTCCCTTAGAAACAGACACCATCCTTCAGATCACCACACATCATCTTTACATATCAGTCTTTCATAACAGTTTCTATGTTACTAGCCACCTTATTTTTCAACACAGAAGTAAGCTTTTAACTTGTGTGTGCGAGACTTTTGATCCTTTAGCTGCTATAGGTAAATAACTACAAGAAATAAAGTGAAGTAAACTGCAAAGCTATCTGCACTAAAAACCAGTATGTTTATGATAATAAATGTAAAATATGATAACACATACCAGCATAATCGACTGTTTTTGTACAGCAAAACTAACTGGACGTGGCTGACACTGGAAACTATGGAATACAAAATATAAATATATCTCGCAATTCTGACTTTTTGTTCCCATAATTGAAATGCAAGCTCAGAATTATGAGATATAAACTCAGAATTCTGACTTTTTTTCAGAATTGCAAGATATAAACTCAGAATTCTGACTTTTATTCCTTGCTATTCTGAGTTTATATCTAGCAATTCTGAATATATCTCACAATTCCGAGTTTAAATCTGATAATTCTGAAAAAAGTCAGAATTCTGAGTTTATATCTCTCAATTCAGTTTAAATCTGATAATTCTGAAAAAGTCAGAATTCCGACTTTAAATCTGATAATTCTGAAAAAGTCAGAATTCTGAGTTTATATCTGATAATTCCGAGTTTAAATCTGATCATTCTGAAAAAAGTCAGAATTACGAGTTTAAATCTGATAATTCTGAAAAAAAGTCAGAATTCCGAGTTTAAATCTGATAATTCTGAAAAAAGGTGAGAATTCCAAGTTTAAATCTGATAATTCTGAAAAAAGGTCAGAATTCCGAGTTTAAATCTGATCATTCTGAAAAAAAGTCAGAATTCTGAGTTAATATCTTGTAATTCTGAGTTTGTCTTGCAATTTTGAAAAAAATCAGAATTCTGAATTGTGAGGACAAAGTCAGTTACCTTTTTTATTTATTTTTTTTTTAATTTCAAGGCGGAAATGGACTTCCATAGGAAACCTTGCACATTTAAGTTAAAAAATGTCTGCATTACATTAAAATAAGGTGAATACTTGACTGACATCTGCACCTAGTGCCACAAAACGCTATAGGAACATTCAAGGATGTGAACGGTTCAGATCAGCCACCATCTGACGTAAAAGCTGCTTCTTGCACATCCTTTGACTTTTGACGGACATTAGCAGGTCTCCTACCCCGGAGCGCTACAAAAAAAGTCAGAATTCTGCGTTAATATCTTGTAATTCTGAGTTTGTCTTGCAATTTTGAAAAAAATCAGAATTCTGAATTGTGAGAACAAAGTCAGTTACCTTTTTTATTTATTTTTTTTTTAATTTCAAGGCGGAAATGGACTTCCATAGGAAACCTTGCACATTTAAGTTAAAAAATGTCTGCATTACATTAAAATAAGGTGAATACTTGACTGACATCTGCACCTAGTGCCACAAAACGCTATAGGAACATTCAAGGATGTGAACGGTTCAGATCAGCCACCATCTGACGTAAAAGCTGCTTCTTGCACATCCTTTGACTTTTGACGGACATTAGCAGGTCTCCTACCCCGGAGCGCTACTTCTGCCCAACATCACCTACTTTATTACCTTCTTCCGTGTTATTGTTTAGACCGCTTTTCTCCCTCATGGCATTCGCCCGACAAGAAACACAAAAAAGTCATTTGAATCCAGCCTCCGTCAGAAATCCCCCGGGGCTGTCAGGACGCGCGCCTTCATTTGATGTCCACTCAATATCTCTCAGTCTCAGCGTTATTAAAGTTGTTGTGTTGCTGCTGGTCTTTTGTTCTCATCAGTAATAAAGTCACGCAGGTGTGCCGGTGGTTGTGTAGGTCCGCGTCTGCAGGTGTGAACTTTGATTTCTTTGACAGGCAGAGAAGTAATGACCATTACTCACTAGGGGCCGTAGCGTATTGACAGCAGCACCTTATTACAGTGAGACATCAGGCATGTCAACCCTTTTCAGTGACCCAAGCACTCTTTCAAAGTCAGCTTGGTCCTGTCCTTCATGGTTGTACTTGTGTAAGACTTGTTTTGCAATACTTGAAAGAGCCACATCCTCTAAAATACTACTTTTGATGACTGTCTTCAATGGTGAGAAAACAAGATCAGAAAAGGATTTTAAGGCAACATGTACAGTGTAAAGCCTGATAAATGAAATAATAGTCAGAGATATAGTACTTTTCTTTCTGATATGTAATAAAAAAAATATATGAAAAATATTTATATAAAAATGTAATGTAAATGCTAAAAAAATAAATAAAAACTCTGTAAAAATAAAGCACAATGTACTGTATTAATTAAGGGTATTTTCTGGCATTTTACCTGTATTTTGAATTTTGCGCTGCATTGCGTTGTGTTTTAGGGTTAACGGAAATGTCTTTTAATGGATAATGTCCTGGCAGAATTTTTATTTTTTAATTAGTGTATATATACACTATTGTTTTTTGTTTGTTTTTTGTTTTTTTTTGTGACTAAAGAGATTTGTGGGGGAGATTACTACGTAGATATATATTTTAATGTAGTAATTTATATACATTTAAAGTATATACACTCACATTTATATTATATAAAATATGATATATATTTCAAATTTTAAAATGTAAAAAAAAATTCATTAGTATATGTAACTGATTTGTGGGGGATTTTTAAAATGAATATATATTTATTTTATTTTTCATAATATTTCATATATACAATATGTTGAATATATGTACATATATTCTTTTAATACTTTTTTTTTAATATTTGTTTTTAATTAAAAAAGGGATTATTATAAATGTATATAAATCATTACATTATTAAAATACATAAATTATATTGTATGGAACTTTTTTTTAATGACTTTTTTTGGGTTAAATGGAAAAAATATTTTTGAAAAAAAAAAACAACTTAAAATAAGGTGTTTTGGCCTTTTTAGTGTGTATTTAGCTGGTTAAACTGGATTGCAAGTGGTTTGTCAATAAGTTTTTTTGTTTTTTGTTGCTGCACTGAATTACTGCATGCTATCCTGCTGGATATTATGGTTTGCTGTATGTCTTATACCAGGGCTGTCCAAACTTGGTCCTGGAGGGCTGGTGTCCTGCAGAGTTTAGCTCCAACTTGCCTCAACACACCTGACTGGAAGTTTCTATGCCTAGTAAGAGCTTGATTAGCTGGTTCAGGTGTGTTTAATTAGGGTTGGAGCTAAACTCTTCAGGACACCGGCCCTCCAGGACCGAGTTTGGACAGCCCTGTCTTATACCATGACAAATAAGAATGGAGATCAAACATACTTATTGTTGGCATTATGATCCATTTTGTTCTATGCCAGAGATGCGTTTCCACCCTCATCGTCAGTGATGTGTAAATTCATGCCCGTGGGTTTGATTAGGTTTCAGACGTCAGAGGCTACGTTTTCTCTGAAGCTGGAAAAAAAAGAGCGAACAAAACGGAGAAAGATCAAAAACAGGGATTCAAAGGACCGGAAACCCAGGGAATCACTCGTGATTGGCCGCTCATGTTTGTGTGTCCTTGATATTCTGTATTCAGTCCATTCAGGACTGCTTGGCCACTCATAAAACAGAGATGTAAGAGGATAAACGCACACAGCCGTGTCTATATTAACTGTGGCAGACAGAAAAAGCGTTTTTGGTTGTGCCTCATTAACTCGTACGTACACTCGAGTGTATCTCACACCTGAACGAAATTAGACTCCGAGGTGCCGAACGAGTCGCAGAACATCATGATTATCCAAACAGATACTTTCATAACCCAACCAATGCAATTTGCACTTGTCTTAAAATAAATGTTACATCTACACGAACATAATGCTTGAAGTAACATGCCAAAGTTCAACTCTTCCCACAGAATATCACACTAATGACCATGTTTCCTTGATTTGTCTCTTATGTTTGGAAGTTTTCCATAAAAACATACACATGCTCCCAAAATGCTCTACTTTTCAAAATGGGATTGATTTTGAACACAAATCTATGGCAAACGAACATTTTGTTCCCTTCGTTCTCTCATTAGTGCGTGAGTGATTTGGTCAGAGGCTAACGACGCTGACGGCGGAGGAGTGTTTGGGAGACGGGTTTTAAGCGGCTATTTTGTCTGGCAGCATCACTGTGAACAGACAGTGGGATTGTAAAAATGCCCTCATCTCCTTGGCAATATGCATCACTCAAGTCTGTTGCCGTGGCGATGGGAGTATTGTCCCCCCCCCCCCCTCCCCCCCCCTTT